CGCAGAGCCACGGCAGCCTGGGCCAGCCCCGCCACCGTACAATCTGCTGGAGACATCCCCGTGAGAAAGGGGCCCCTCCGCACGGGCAGGGCTCTCCTCCAGCCCGGCAGGCAGGGATGCACCGCTGCATCTCTGGGGAGCTGCTGCCCCACTGATTTCCAAATTATTAAACTTAATAGCCTTTGGACCCTGGCAGTGTGGCCCACAAATCCCACCCCTCTCCACCCTAGCCAAGCTTTCTAAAGAAAGATATTGGACATTTGGGACTGCTAAGCTTAGAGACATTGAAATTTGAAGGCGGGAGGGGGTGTGTCAGAAATCCATGCCCTTGCTCCCTGCAATCTGCTGTCATGTCTGAGGGCCTGGGGACACCTCTACCCATCCCCTCTGATGGTCCTGAAGCGCAGGCTCAGTAACTGGGTTGACACTGCTGGTCTGCAGCCGTTTTCCAACCCCACAAAGCTGAAGCAGCACTGGTAGCCTGGCTGGGTTGTTTCTGATGTCCTGCAGCTATGCTGATGAGCATCACCCAGAGCCAAGGTAAACACAGACAGGCAAAACATTGTACCTTCCTAACCCCTGAAAACCTTTCACTGGCCCAAGACCACCTTCAAAGGGATGCTGCTTCTTCGCACAAAGGCCCAGCAGCCGGGGAGAGGTGCAGGGCTGTGATGTCCAGGGCTGGTGGTGGCACCGGGGGAAGCGAAGATGTGCTGCCGAGGGGCTCGGGGCTTCCTCGCCACTGCCACAGAGCCAGGGTGGAAGAACGTTTTCCCTCTGAGGGTGACAGAGCACTGGAACAGGCTGCCCAGGGAGGCTGTGGAGTCTCCTTCTCTGGAGATATTCAAGACCCACCTGGACAAGGTCCTGTGCAGCCTGGTGTAGGTGACCCTGCTTCGGCAGGGGGGTTGGACCAGATGAACCACAGAGATCCCCTTCCAGCCCCTACCATTCTGTGATTCAGGGTGCAACACAGCACTTGGTCAGGGTATCCTGGAGGCAAGGAAGGGGCCCTTGCTTCCAATTTCACTTTGGAAGTCTCTGCTGTGGTGCAGAATGGAGGGATTTGCTAATCCCAGGCTTTAGGAGGAGTTCATTGGCCCTAGCTGTCAGGCCTTTCCCTGTGCAAGGTTTGCACATAGGAAAAACCTCATACAAATAAACCACTGAAATGTCTGGTTCAGGACCCAGGGGACTTTCCAAAGCACAGGGAGGCCATGGACACCATGAAGCTTTTATTTTGACCCATGATGTGCTGGCAGGAAACCCCCTCTACACCGCAGATATATGTGTGGTACCATGTCCTCGCCCTACACCCTGCTGCCATCCTCCAGAAGGTGTCCAGGCATTTCACAGTGGTACTGAGACAGCAATGGACAAGAGCAGCTCTGCTTTCCCCACCACAGCCCAGTCAACTTCAGTGGTCCTGCTGGGACATCTCCATCAGGGGATGGTAAACGTGGGCAAGTCCTGAGCAACACATGTTCCACAGGCAAGAAATGTTAAACAATGTCTCTGTGTCCCCATCGTGTTCCTAACCCAAGGCATTTCCTTTGTTGTAACTGTGACCTATAAAGTGGCGCTTTAGAGGGTTTTATAATAAAATGTTGAGTATATTACATTATGTGTTTTTTTCTTTGTAAATGTGGCTTGTCCCTGCTCTACTTTCCTGTAGATTTTATGCACATCAAACCGCTGTTAGTTACTAGAAAGTCCCTTAGCTAGGCAGTCTACAACTGCAGTGGGTTATATCTTAACTAATTTAGTCCTTTATAGTGACCGCGCCATCAACCAGAAATATTTTCAGACATCTAACTGAAAAACAGCAAGAACGCTGACAATTTGCATGAACACATGTAACAGATTCCTTGCCTGTGTCTCCATAGCGCAGTCCTCTTGCACAAAAGCAGCAGAGAAAAACGCATCCACTGCCTTGCTGTGGCCACTAGATAGCAACTGTGTGCAGCGCTCGGTGCCTGCTGCTGCTGCCGAAGGGAGAGCCAGGACCGGCTTCAGCTGGAAAGGGAGGAAAAGAGTCAGTAAAGACGGTGGTTGAGGCCAGTCTTTACGGAACAGACACCAAACCAGATGCGTTTGTGAAATCCCTGTCGGTGGCTGTACCACTGCTAGCTCCCCTCCTGCAGAAAGCTGCAGAAAGCTTGCGAAGGCACCGCAGCTACTGCACAAAGTCCTGGGGAAGGTCCTGCTCCCCTGCCTTTCCTAGGAAACCTGCCGACAAGCCCATTAGCGGCCCATCAGCCTCTGAGCCCAGGAATCCCAAAAGAACTGGATTTGGGATTGCTATTTTTGTGAGCTGAAGGGGTGGCAGCCGTTGCTTTTGTCCTTCCCTCGCAGTGCTGCCCACCACCCATGGCTGCTTTATAACCCCTCAGCATCACCTCCAGCTGCCCCAGCACCCCTCTGCCTTTCCCTCCCCGGGGAGCATCCTGGCAGCAAACACAGCTGCCAAGGGTCATGGCTGCACCCAGACTAAAGGGCTCGCGCACCCAAGCACCACAAAGCCCTCAAGCCTGACCCATCCTTGTAGCCCTCCGCTGGACTCTCTCCAGTAGCTCTTCATCTTTCTTGAACTGGGGAGCCCAGAACTGGACACAGTACTCCAGATGAGGCCTCACCAGGGCAGTGTAGAGGGGAAGGAGAACCTCCCTCGTCCTGCTGGCCACACTCTTCTTGATGCACCCCAGGATCCCATTGGCTTTCTTGGCAGCCAGGGCACACTGCTGGCTCATGGTTAACCTGTTGTCCACCAGGACACCCAGGTCCCTCTCCGCAGAGCTGCTCTCCATCAGGTCCACCCCACGTTGAAAGACTGGGCCCAAAGACACGGCTGTGTAGGGAGGCAGAGCTCCTACTGCCGCTGAGGAAAACATGCAGTTTAATGCTTACTGGTACTGCTTCGTTACTTATTCCCAGTGTAATTCTTATCTGTGCACAATGCAGCCAGGCTGCCATGGGGCCCACGGTGTGTCACAAGCAGACATCCGCATTCCTCTGGAAGGAAATTTGCTGCTACAAAAAATTTCTCTTAGCAAATGTCTCACCTAAGTACCTCCAGTTCTTGCTTTGGATACATGGCGCAACCCTGCAAGAGCTACTGGGAGATCCCACCATCTTGCCTCGCACACTAAGAGGGCTAGTGGGCACTTTGATTTTTCAACGACGACACAAGTGTCAGATTTTAAATAAAAATAAAAAAATCCTTCTCTTATTGGTGGAGGAGTTGGCCTGAATGTTTATGTAAGTTGTCTGGGGGTATAAATCAAATTAATTTACCTCTACTGAAGAGAATAATATTGAAGGCTTTTTGGAAGCTGAAGAAGCCAGCTGGCTTTAAGGAGAGCATCAGCAGACCCAGTGCCAGCGCTGCGGTGCCTCTCACAGCCTGGCCCTGAGTGTCGGTGCCCAGGGAGGGTGGCACAGCGGGCTCCGAAGCCCAGGTCCCCGGCTGCAGCCTTTACAGTACAGGCACCACACACATTTAGTCATCAGAAACAGGCACGGTTTTGCTTGCTGAGGGAAGGTAAGACTAAAGGGGGTGAAACTCATGGCACTTAAATTGCAGTTTCTTAAAGGAGAGGCAGGCTGTCCCTTGAAGTCAGCACATGGCCGGCGACCAGCCAAGGCTCATCCAGCAACCCTACAGAGCGAGAGTAATTCACAGCTCCGGCAGTGACAGCCCAGCCATCTGACGAGGACCTAGCACAGACGGCGTCCCCTGCGCTCCCCACACGCCAGACAGAATCAGCGCTGGCTTCGCAGGGACCCCACCTCCTCGGTGGCCCAGCCAGCCTCAGACACCGACCCCGCCTGAAGGGAACGAGCTCCCATCAGGTGAGTTCTCATGAAGTATTTCTGCTTGAGTCAAAGCAAGTCCGTGAGAGTGAATTTAATAAGAGATCATGTCACAGACCCAAGTACCTTCCTTACTCTTTTTTAACTAAATTGTGGAGGAGAAAGGGCCTAGAAATTAGCCAGGATCTTCAACTCATTTTGTCTTTTTAAAAAAGCAAACAGGTCCAACAACTGCTCAGCAATGTCCTGCTTGCCCATGGGATCAGCAGGTCTCTCCAAGACCGTCCCATATACCCTGATCCTGTTAACAGCTTGGCTTTTCCCATCTCCTCCCAATGCCACAACACCTCCTTACCTTGCAAAGTCCCATACAAATGAAGAGCTGGTGGGTGCTGCTGCTGCCAGAGCACATCTGAGCAACCATCCAAGGCTTCAGCGTTCAGCCACATCTGGGAGGAAGGCCACAGTCACAGCACACGTAGATCCCTGGCACATGGGGATCCCTGGGGCATTCTGGGCACTGACACCTAAGCCAGATGCACCCAGAGGCTGAGGGCTGGGTTTAGGCACCAGCTTTCCCAAAACTCCTCCATGAGTTTCCAACCTTTCACACCATCTCTACTTGAGAAACTGATGCCCAGGGCCAGATGTATCCCATCCAGCATTCTAGCTGTGCCTAAAACCAGCAGGGTGGTACAAATGCAGAGTTTCACCCAACTCAGGACCCAGGCAAGCATCCTTTGTCCCAGTAAAGCTCATGCACTCTAAAAATGTACTTATTAACTATGTAATAAAATAAAAAGAACTTATGGAGGTTACACCAAACCACATTTGCCAGAAGGCAAAGCGCTCACCAGCACTGTACAAACGATCCTGAGGCAACAGAGGTAGAAGGAAAAGGCTCTAGGCACCTGTATGAGGGCAGCGAAGCACATTCCAGCTCCAGAGCTGCGTGCCAGGCACGGTAAATACGCTTCCGTTGGGGAGGGAAGACGGATCCTGCACCGGACAAACGCCTGTACAGAGCGAATTCCCGACGCTGTTAGAGACGAACCATAGCGTGGAAACCACCGGGGAGCTGCAAACCCAGCGACACAGCAGGGCAGCGAGGGCGAGAAGCCATGGTCTCGCCAGCCCTCCACACAACAGAGGACGTGCAGGGAGGCTGGGAAGGGTTTCCAGAGCAGTCTGGCTGGAAGCCAGCCGCCTCCATGGGCACTTCTGCACCATAAAACACAAACCACGTCTCTGGGTGTCAGCTGGGAGTCTGATCTAGCCCGTTCTCCCCACAACAAGAGACAACTGATAGTTTTCCAGCAGAGGCCATGCTTAGCTACAGCCATGCTGAAGTAACATAAATAATTAGTTTCTCTTTCTATCCCAAATGCCAGCCCTTCCACTAAGCCTCTATTTTGCCGTGCCTTAGGGACACAGACAATCTACTAAAATGACAGTGAAAAGAAAGAGGAAATTCTCCTGTTTCCTAGCCTGGTTTCTCCCACAAGGTACAACACTGTTGCTTCTGTCCCAGTGCCAGCTTTCATCCCCGAGAGTGCTTTATGCCGTTCTCCTTCTGACAACGAACCTGCAGAGTAATCTGTGTCTCTCTTTGTGCATCTAATGTTACCATTCAAACACGGGGCCAGGACATCTGGGTGAAGGGATTTTTCCTCTTCTGGGAACAAAAGATGGTATTTTCAGGACTGCTGGCAGTCACAGTTGATGTCTCTGCCTTGGCCCTGCCCAGAGCCGCTCCTGCTCTCCCGAGGTGATGGACGCCATGGGAAAGGCAGCAGAGAACAACCCGACTGTGAACCATGGGCCCCAGGGGAGCAATTGCGTAAATTTTACACCTTCCTGGGCAAACTGATCTAGTGATCCAGTGAGACTGATGCTCTGAAGGATGCAGGCATGTGGCCAAACTGTCTTTGGAGACACGTGAACCATCACAGCCCACCAGCAGCTCAACTTGCGCTGCAGAGACCACTGCTGCGCTGGGGACAAGATCAGCTTTAAACAACAAGGGGAGGCAGAAACGCCGTTCAGCTCATTCATCCGGGTTCAGGCTGGGACAAGCACGCTGTTCTCCCCAGCCAGCTTCAAAAGGAGAGCAAAGCAACATGGCAAAGCTCTGAGCCACAGAAACAGCACCAAAAAGAAGCGGCAAGACTTGACCTGGACTGGGCAAAAAAGAAGGAATAAGAGAAAAACATGCACTGGCAAGGAGAGAGCAAAGAGGTGGCCAGCAGGAGTAGAAAGGAAGGGGTGGATGAGACCTGGGAGGAGAGGTCCAGGCCTCTTCCTCCTCTGACCTGGACGCTGCCTGCCACGCTCTGCTCCCAGCACCCATGCGAAGCTGCTCAGGCGGTTGAACTGGTCCTGTCCCCTCAGGTCAGACTGTGGCTGGCAGGTAAGTGTGAGGCTGGGAGGGGAGGAATGGAGTTAAATCTGAAAGCAGACAGGCCAAGGTCCAAAGACCAGCAGGATGGTACAAACCATGGCTCCATCCAGAGCCTACGACAGACCAGAAGACCTTTGTTTGCAAACGGTTGAGGGATTGCCCTTACTTGGTGTGTCTGCAGCACAGGTAACTGGATTTGACCTGGTCAAATCTAGGAGAAAAATAGTCAATGCACCTGATAAAACCAGCAACACATACTGACTGTCACTGCTCTGCTTTGGAGTTACATAAGCCATTAAATGCTCTTGCAAAACAAATCCTTTTCAAACCTCTCCTTATAAAAAATACATGGCTACAAAATACCCATGAAACTAAACCATATTCAATCACTCCAAGTAAATTTAGAGAAGAAAGTGGCGTGAACAACTTACAAAACAGAATAGAGGCTTGTAATCAGTTCTCCTTCCTCTTCCTCTTATTTGCCTTCCTGCGTGTGACAAGCTATTCACTTCA